ATATCCACTAACCAGTTGTCAATGCATAAATGTGTCTTCTTGTTCGGATTGCCCTATGAGCCATTTATTGGCGTAGTCACTCAGATCAATTGACATCCATCTGTCCACCTAACAGCTACTTTACGGCCATTCGTCCAGGGTAAATAGTGAGAAGGTTTCGATCTTCAAAAAGAGTCTTATTCACCCACTTTTGGTGGCGCAATAAAAGATAGAATCAAAAGTCAGTTTGTTTTAGCACAAAATGAATACATTTCACGAAACAATCCAATTTCACTAATCCTTACCTCACATAAAGCTGCATGCTTTCTGTTATTTTGCAGGTTAGACCGTAAACGGGACTCAAACCAGGGGTCGCATGCGCGTGGTATGGACAAATTGATACCACACCAAGTCACTCTAATGGTGGGATTATGGTCGAGATAGCTAACTTGCATTTGTATGATATATATTCACCCTATTTCGTTTAATGTGATAAAGGATTGGTATTTGAATAGTTCCACAATGATATGAATATTGTGGGGAAATTCTACAAGCAGTCATTCGTCACCTTAAACCAAATTGAGGGAACACAACTCGTAGATATGATTTATTGGTTGTCTCGAAACTCTACTTCTGAAAGCAAAACAAACCTCTATTTGCAAATTCATCAAAGTGAATACAGTGCTGTGGGAAATATGAGATATCTTTACTGACTTTAGAGGATACATGAAATGTATTCATCATAGTCCGTTTAAGCTAATGAAGGACTGGTAGTTGCTCGAGAATTTAACTATCAGTCATGTATCATCTTCTACGACTAACGCGACTTTCAGTTCTCATAAAGGCAGCGTTTGCGCCATTTAGCCCGCCCGTGGTCTTCGTCTTTCCGGTCATTCAGTGTTGTCAAGCTACCGCAGCAAGAAGGGCATCATGTTCTGGAGGATGAAGGGAACATGAAAATTTAGTCATCAAAGATGCTGATGAGACGGTAAGTCAAGCTCTAGAGCAGTGATTCCCAAACTGTGCGCCGGGAAATATTGTAACAGCTTCAAGTTGAGCAAAATGTGCCGTGATGTGCATGCTCATCCATGACATTAATTATTAAATATTAATTTAATGTTAATAAAGTATTAAAAAATTGATGAAGATACACGAGTTTTATTTATTTTTATCTCTTACTTACGAATAGTCATACTTAGTGTGGGGCGCCATGGAAGCATTTTAATTGAAGAAGGGCGTCGCGACTATTAAAAGTTTGGGAACCACTGGTCTAAAGCATGAGAGCAAAGCCTATCTACTTGGGAAGCATTTCCTCCTCCCATATGAGCTAAAAGAGTACCTTCGCAAGAATCACTGACATGCTAAAAGCATTCATGACAAAGCACAACTAATCTGGTCGAAGTTTAGCGACAACCACAAGACTGCTTCATCGATAATCCCACTAGAAAAATGTGATTTAGGGCTGAGAGTTGGCCTACCCTGGACATGTTTGTGTGGTGGAGTGGTAAATTGCGACACAATCGGGACGGAGGAAAAACCGCGTGGAATCACAGTCATCGTGAGGCCTACTCGTGTCGGTTTGGACAAACCCCACCATTCTTTTGCTCAGCTTAAACGGCCTAGGGCAAAACAGTTTTCTGCCAAAAGTTACTGAGGCAAATTTAGGGCAAATAAGTGGGCTAAAGATACCTGCTCGGGTTGGGGTTTAAAACCAGAGGAAGGGGAAGATGGTATGCGATTTTTCAGTTGCACTCATTGCTGCTCCTTTTATTAGTCTCCTTTGTCGGCGTTGACTGGGCGCATAGCGACGTCGCGGTACTCGAACTGCCCGACTAGGACACAATCTTGAGTGAGGTCTGTATCGAGTCGGCAAACAGCGGACTGCCCGAGAAGAGCAGACCTGGAGACAACGTGAAGCGAAGAGAAGACTGGCAGAGTTCGCCTCGGGGGACACGGATTCTGCGATTCGCGTGTGAGCGGGATGAACAGGAAAAGTGTGTCATCCACTTTTTCCGGACAAAAGTTTAAGCCGATTAAAAGGACCGGAAAGCTATCAAATGAGACCATCAACTCTGCCGCCAGAAGAAAGAACCGCCGATGAGCAAAGATAACTAGTCAGACCGACACGAAAGAGGCCGTGACCATGACGACTCACATTTTTTAGCGCAAAAGATAATCAAGATATCTTGCCCCAACTACTGATTGTTTTGAGGTCTATTCATGCCGAAAGTTGGCAGCATCTTTGTTGCCTTATCGACGAAGCCACAATAATCCGAGATTGAAAAGATGCCTGGCTTGTAGTAAAGGTCACATCTGTTCACGATATGCAGGATTTCGTGTCTAATCTCGTTGTTGGCGCTGATGAAACAATGTTACAGGATGGGATAGAAACCGCAGCTCAATCCGGATGAGACAATCAAGAATGAGGACACTTCAATGCTATCGTGAAGCTAATCAAAGTATTTTTAGAGA